TTTGTTTAGGTCGTATTCTACCGGATGTGCCGTGTCGAGTGTGCCAAGATCATAGTTCCGGCAAACATTATGGGATCTTCTCGTGCGATGGATGTGCAGGCTTTCTTCAAGGTATGTCCCGCGAGCCTCCCGGGTAAAGGTAGGAGACTGCTTGTGAAAACTGTTGAATTTTCAGCGATCGATTAGGCGGCATCGGCAGTACGTGTGCAAGAACAAGGGTGGATGTGAAGAAGGCAGATGTGTAGTTGACAAGACCCACAGAAATCAGTGCCGGTATGGTTTTCTCCCCCTCTCTTATATGACTGGGAAACAAAGCTGACGCTGGCATTTAGGGCTTGTCGATTGCGAAAATGTCTCGAGATAGGCATGAACAAGGAGGCTGTCCAGCACGAGCGGGGACCGAGGAATTCGAGTCTGAGACGGCAGAATCTGCTCCTGGAACATCCCCGTCTGGCGCTTTCGGTAAGTTAACAAGAAAATGCTTCTACTTCAGAATTTCTATGCTTCCTGCACTGAACGGGTTCTCATACTCACTTCCGTCGTTCATGTCAAGGAAAAGCCGCAATATTTCCCACAATGAATCATCCCTAACCGGCCCAGTCATCTTGAGCATCTTTTGTTTTCTTGCCTTCATGTGTCATGTCTTTCCTTCATCCACGCTCACTCATCCACTGATTTGGTTATTGGCTATCGCTCCAACTCCTGTGCCACTTTCTCAGCACTTGTGTACCTGCCAGCCCGGGGGCTGAGAGGGTTTGGTAGACGATGTTCGTGGTATTTGATGAATCATATCGTCTCCTCGGTGGACTATGGGAGCGGGGAGAACCTCATCCCAACTCCTTTTGAGCTCCAAGCCATAAGAAAGCCATTAAAATGCAATCTCAATAATCCACGGCTTGCAATTTTCGTGCTGGCGCTATATGTAACCCCAAGGGTTTCTTCTCCTTCTTCTTATTCTTCAACGTTTGTCCCGATCTGTGTCGGTTTTGAGGGACGAACTCTCCAAGTAAATAAACTAACAAGTAATAAGCCTCAACTTAAATTTATTTTCCAGCCGTGAGGAAGCCATAAAAGAGTAAATCCAAAGTTGATCTGAAATGTGTGCATTGCAGTCAAGGCATTAACCACTGAATATTAGATGTAAAGCGTGCATTGAAGTCAATGCAGGAGGCGTTAAATGCGTTAACATCTTGCTGGATGGCTGCTAAACTTTGAAGCCTACCTTTCGACGAAGAAATTTCGTTTCTCCATTTCTATTTACTAACCTTCCGTAAGCCCATCAGATCCAAGTAATGGTTGCCGGAAATTCATCTGGGCGATATTTGGGCTTGAATTATTCCCATTTCTTCAGCAAAACCCTGCTCGCTGTTCCTTCCCTCCCGATTGGGAACCATTCCAGCAGGTGTTTGCAGATTCCCTGTCGGCATCTGTTGTTCACGAAAAAACAACAAGCCAACGGACTACGGTATGGTGCCGATCGGGAGCTACCGATTAAACGTCATTGTGTTTGACGGCTGATAGTGAGATTTTCGCTATGGAGTTTCATATTGGCAGGGGTCGGCCGAGCCGCTGCAGCAGCAGCAGCAACGACTGGCTAGGAAGTGCTTGGGAGCCACTTTGCGCAGCCGAAGAGCAGCGGCGAACAAATGCCGTCTCGACAAATGCACTCCGACCTTTGTCGATATGGCTTCTTCACTTTGTCCCTGCTGTTTCTTGAGAAGTGACAAGTCCCGCTAAGATTGGCCTTCTAAGCTCGATTTCTTCCGCTACAAGAATCTCAAAGCTAGTGGCCTGCGATTTTGCTGATAGCACGGCTTAGTCAATGGAGCAAATGTCAATCTCTACATTCTTGTGTCTATCTGCTCCAATCATCTGTGAATTCTGTACCTTTTGCCTCGAATTTTCTTTGTGACCCATCTCAAAATACCCCCCTCTGTCCAGGTCCTCCACTTCCCCTATTTCAGCCAGACATCGGTTCAGACTCGGATGCTTCCCCTCCTTGTTTGGAGAAACTACCGGAAGTCGCCGCTCGAGTGTTCTTTCAGTTGATCACTTGGACACGCTACCAGCTACCATTCGCGTGTTTACCCCTTGAGGGACAGGTAAGTTCTCCCACACTAAACTAGTATTACAGTACCAATCAAATCTCGCAGCCCCATCGATAGCTCCAAATGCTTTCAGATAAGCACCTTTCAACATTGCTGGCCAGCATTGTTCGTGCTAAGTTTGTGAGACGCCTCAATTAACCTCACAGCAATGTGCTCAAACGATTCCTTGCGAATGTGTCAAGGAGAAAGCCGAGGTAGTTCCTACATTGCTGGCAGTTCCGGGTTATTTTCATGGTGTTCTGGCACTTCAGGTAGCTGAGTGCTTTCGAAAAGATGGAATCTCTGAGGCTTGACGCTCGCGAGCATGCAATGCTCAGGACTTACGCACTAATGAAAGGTAATGAATTGTAGTAGTCAAATTATAGGCAATTAGATCGTGGGTGAAGGCAGGAGCTTACGACGAAAAGCGGACTAGGCCTAATAGAAGGAAGCCCTAGATTTCTTCGCGGTGAGAAGCTCGTCAAGTACGGCTCTAAATAAAGGCGATGACATTATATACATACTCGGTTTACAAGTTTGTTTCTCTTATAACTCTCAGCAGTTACGGGCGCTTGAACTCTTTTCGATCAGCATTCATAAAGAAAGTAAAGAGAAACAAGAAGCACAAATACTAAAACAAAACAAACGCCGCAAAGGTCAGGTTCGAAAGAAGGCAACCTGGTTTCCAGATTGGTCCGGCAATTCAGTCCTCTGCACAATTCCAGCAGATTCTGGGTTTCTACCTGTTCATAATGAAGTCTGGCTATTATCCACCCAATCACTCAGTACGGAATTCAACCAACCCTCCCGTGAGCCTGCTATAGGAATTAAATGTGCGAAAGGGAAAGGAGAGACGTTCACAACGGGAGAAAGTGTCGCATCCTCACAGACGATGCCTTGTTTTTCGAGAGCACGTCACGTTGATCCCCAACGTGTTTATTTGGCCCTTGGAGGGGAGAAGGTCGTGACTGTATCCGAGAGACCCGCTTGACTTTTCTTGGATTTTTCTCGTTTTACTGGAGCAGTAAACATCTCCACTACTCTCTGCTCCCTTCCCTGGAGGAGATTATGAGGAGGGGGGGGGCAATCGTACTTTGCAAAAATTCTACCCAACAGCAGGCAGGATTGGGCGATCCGACAGCATCACTATCGCCCTAGGTAGACCTTGCCAGCGTCAGTTAATAAAATTCAGCGCTCCATATCGCAGTATAGCACCCAGTGCCCCTATTTAATGACGGTCGCCAACTAGCTTCGTAGCGACAACCATCTAAATGTAGCGCATCTCTATTTGCTTATTTTGAATTCACAGAATTGGAACAGATGTGTGACCATATCGGACGGCGACGTCGTGAGAGGGGAACCAGACGCCGCATGGGCTAGGGGGAGATGGACGACTGCAAACAATCACTCCGAGGGGTTACTGTAGTCGGACGAGTGTGTTAAAAAAGTCGCGTCTGTAGCCGATGCGGCTTCGTTTCCAAGATGGTTTTTACTTGGCGCTAGATGGCACACAAGTGTTCAGTTTGTATGGTTACAGATACGCCGTCAGCCTACCAGCTCGGATTCCAGCTGGCCGCCTATCATCAAGTCGTCCACCGGAACGATCCACTGCGATTTCTCAAGTTGGTAGTCATTACTTGTTCGCTCTTCAAAATCACTTTGCTTCACTAAAATGCTTTTTTTAGGTGTCTCGATGTGCTGTCGATTTCTGGCGACTCGCTTGTCGCCGTGCTATTCCGCCCGTCGATCGGGGAAGCGTCCATGTCCAGATTGATCGCTGATATTCTGAATCCGCGAAAACCCGAGCCAGTGGCACTGCCGCTTCCACGAGGTCCACGGACCGATTTTTGCGTGGAAGGGCTGCTCGGCAGAAGCATCTCGTCGCCGTCAACGTCCACCCTCGATACTTCCTCTTTGCGGCCGACTACCGCTGTAGCCAGTCCTGAAAGCGTTAGTGGTACTGAAGAGGTCTAACCACTGTGCCTCATCGGCACACCTCTGTACATTATGTATGATAGAAGCATTCTCTTGCCAGCGTTTTTGATTGCTTTTTGTAGGAGCAGTTCGGCGACGGGGGGGGGGGCATTTTGCACTTTTGCTACTTCCCATCGACGTGTCGAGCCATCTAGAGAGCTATTTCATGAGCTTACAAGAGTTGACAGGTTCTACCCTGGTGGCTCGACAAGCTTGCTCCAGGAGTTCACAGGTTTCACTAGGGTGAGATATGCAAACCGGAACTAGGTAGCAGTGGAAGTGCGTGTAGAATGTCCCCCCCCGCGTCGCCAAACTGCCCCCTTTTGTCTTTTGTCATTCAAGAGCTTTGATTGAGATTTCAAGCTTTATCATGTCGATATCAATTATTTAACATATAAGTCTATTTTTTGAATAAATTGTTTTTGGTTAAGTTTGCCTGCTCAAAGTGCGGGCATTTACCTCGAGACAACGAGGGAGAGGAAATAATTGGGAACAATTAAATTGAGGTATTTAATTGCACATGGATGTTTGCAGAGAGCATTCCTGTGGGGAGACAACAAGGTGATAATGAAGTGTTAATTGCGACTGTCCGTAATCGCAGTCAGTGCAGGTGAGCCCACGTGTGCGAAAGCGATCAGGCTAAGGTCGAGACTTGCGATTCCCTGGACGGCGGTCAGTCGAAAGCACTTCAAACTCGTCTCAAGATACGTCTCATACTGGACATATATAATAAAGGATTAGCAATGGCTTAACACCTTTCAATGCCGCCACAAAGTTTAGAGCACCGGATTACGGTAAGTATTGTGCAACTTTGGCCTAGCGGTCAAAGGCGACCGCTTGTTGTCAAGATACATTACTTCGACGGTCCATTCTGAGAAAAATGCGAACAGCATGGGCGTTTTTTGCCCTCTTGCTTGCCCACTCTCACCTCCTTGATCTCAAATTCTGTTTCTAATCGCCAATTCAGCGCCTTCGTCATACGCTAATGGATTACCGTAGCTGCTTCTGGCTTATTCCCGGCCTTAAGGGATAAGTCCTGCTCCCACGTCCCAACATGAATTTGTTGTTAGGCGCTTAATAATCATGGATATAACCCTGCTTGCCTTGATTCAAGTTGCATGCAGGGCCAGAATTTCTTAGAATCGCATGCTCCAGCAGCCAAAGCGCAACCCAAAATCCTACCATAGAGTTGAGACAAAGAAGAATAGCCCAGCTAAAAAACCTCTTAACAAAGTTGCAGTTTCAGTCTAATGGCATGCGCTTACAGCTACGAAGCTATCTCTTCCCCTCCCCCTTTTTTTAAAATTTGAGTGAACATTTTTTAGTCACTAATCGTTGTTTTTGAGAAGTCGTTGGAACGTCATTGAGTTACGATAAACTACATTTGAAGGAATGAGAGCGGCTGATTTGGCAGGTTCATGGAGAGGAAGGGAATTAATATTTGTGTGTGCAGTACGAACTTATCTTCCCATCTCAGTAAACGCCGAAAGTTGCTATAGTCCAACTGCACAGCGCATTCAATAACGACGTCGTGAAAAGCTTCTAGTCATCATGTGCAGCTCCGCTGCTTGGTTGTACATGTCAGCAACATAGGCGCCAGTAATCGCTCCATTCCCCCCTCTACGCGCTTAAAGTTAGTTTAGGTCGCTCGTTTTTCGCCCAGGGCAATAGCACGCTTATCACGAGGTCTTAATCGATTTTCATTGATATTTTCTTTATACATCGGCTGGCCCCAATGGCATTGGATAGCCTAGCATAGCGATGATGGCCGATAGGCAACGCACTGCCATCCTTAATGAGTCGGGATGGATGTCGCCATACCAAAAAAGGGTACTAATCAATAGCGAAATCGTTTGCCTTCCTAGTCTGAAGCACATATGTCTGTTATGACAATGTTGGCAATCCGCAGCAAGCTCGCGGAAGCAAAAGATACCCATCAAGAACAGAGTTTATGAACAAAAAACTGGCAAGGCTTTGAACCCGCACATCCACATTAATTGGTGGCCATGTCTATATCATTGCACCAACCAGGCAGCTTCTCTCTCTGAGGCTTGATCTTCCTGCCGTCATAGCTCTCCAGCCTCACACGCTTTAAGTGCGCCAGCCCTGGAAAGCGGATGAGAACACACTGCTCAACACTCATCGCTCCGTGCTCAAAAAGGGTGGGAGCTGCAATCCTCAGCAATATTGACCAGATAGCGTCTGCTTAACGCAAACCAACAGCCGCCTCCAATGAGCCTTCTTTCCATGCCCTGCTGGCATCGCTCAGATTGATTCGACCCCGTCCGAGTCCCTAGCCTGCGGCCATTAGTCTTGACCTTGACAGAGTCAACATCTTTTTTTGTAATCCAAGCATAATAAAAGTATAGGCATAACAGAATGAATAACCTTTAGCCATTTTCTTTCGAAGTACTATGCGTGAGGCTTTGCGTGGTTGCGAGGCAATGTGCTTCAGCAAAGACTATTACCTAGAGCGGGACACATTTAAGAGATATCCATTCGTTCCCAGTAAACGGAGAGCTCCACCAATGCGGCGCCTCGCATAATGCGAGCCAATTGAGACGAATTCCTCCTTGATTCTCCAAGTGGTCCCTTGATTGTAACTCGGCATCGATCTCGAATGTTTAGTTGCTTCTGACGCAGAACGGAGCTTATTAGATGGGGGACCTGTTTTATTGGCCCTGAACGGTTCGTCGACCTTTCTCGTCTTCTTCAGGGGCCTGAAAGTGGCTCGAAGCTCTTGATTTGTTACCTACCCGACCAACCGCCTTCCCCACACTAAAGTTTCTGCCGTTATGTCGTGACACGCCTTGTGAATAACCCGGTAATGACGCGAGCAACTCACCGACACGCGTTCGCACTTTTTGCGAGCCTAGCCTCTCGCTGTTGTGTAGTAGGATCCAGTAAGGCGACAATGAGTCTCACTTGAGACCCATGGGCTCGTCGGCATAAGTCAAAATTGTCATAGCGCACGTCGTCCTTACTGTAGCTCGCATTCTGATACAAACGGCAGGAATTCATTTGTAATCGACAAGCACTCGTTTCGGCCGTTCAGCCCTGATTTTCTCGCAAAAATCCAAAAACGATTCAGGCATGTCCTGGCAGAGATCCTCTGTCTCGTCCCGAGTATCGTACACTTAACACATCAAAGTCCATTCTCGTTATGCCTGCTCCGACGATCTTACTGTGCTACGAGAAGGAGAAGTCATGTATACCAGCCTTTTTCCAGCTAGGTGTTCGCTTAATGCAGCCGTCGCGTAAATCCCTCTGTTTCCCTCGACAGTACGTGCTGTTTAACACAATCCTGCATTAGTGGATAAACTACTCCAACTTTTTCACAATCTCCTGACCCTCCATATGGGCAAATAACGCAGTCTGGTGTGACGCACTGCCTGTCGTGCAGTCTACTGTGGACAAGTTTGCGTTTTGCATGCTCGCCTATGGAAATTCTTCACCAAGCGGCAGATCTAATCCTGCTAACCTCGTGCACGCAGCGATCGTATTAGTGCTGATTCATCCGGAAATCAAAAGGAATGATCAGGGCGTAACTTCCCTTTGCGGATTCAATGGCGTTGCTGACGTCGAAGGTCGTTACCGCACAACCTACTGTAAAAATTCGCTGATTCGTCGTCACATTCGCGCCTGGATGAACGTGCAGGTCCATTAGGAACATGATCACTACAGCAACGAAGATGTGCACTGGTGATGAAGAACGACTAGAATCAAGATCTCTAGCTTTGAAAATTGCTAGAGAAAATGGTTATGCGGGTACGAGCACATAGCAGACACGAACGCTAGCCTGTGACACGGACCACGCCAGGGGCAGTTACCCTTATGTCTTCCTTTTATTTCCGATGAAGTCAGCACTGAAATACATCGCAGTATTGTGCGAGCACAGTTACAGGAAGATGTCGCCTTGGTGAAAAATTCCAATAGCAGCATCAAACGGCAAACTTGTCCACAGTAGACTGCACGACAGGCAGTGCGTCACACCAGACTGGCGTGTATTTGGCCATTTGAAGGTCGAGGAATGTTGAAAAGTTGGAGTTTATCAACATTGAATGCCAGGACTTGTAACAGCCACGTTAAGATCGGGCGGAAACAGGAAGGATTTAGCTGCGCGCGTATTAAAAAACACCTGAGCCGAAAGGGCGCTGTATGATGACTACTCCGCCTCGCGTGAAGCATGAGACGAGGAGCATAACGGGAATGACTTTGATGTTAAGTGTACGATACCGGGTACGAGACAGAGATCACTTCTAGGAAAGCCCTGGAATCGTTTGGATTTCTGCGAGAAAATCAAGGATGAACGGCCGAAACGAGTACTTGTCGATTAAAAATGAATTCCTGTCGTTTGTATCGGAATGCGAGCTACAGTAAGGACGACGTGCGCGTAGTGAACGAATTGTTGACTGATGCGACGAGCAGGGTCTGCGAGTAGACGTCAGTTCGTTAGCTTCTGCATCCTGAGCTTACACACAGCGAGAATTACGCCCTCGCGCGGCAGCATGTTGTGAAGCTGGTGAGTTGCCGGCTGTATTACGCGGTTTTCTGAAGCGTTCAGGGACGACGTTCAGAAAAGTAGAGTGCGAGAAGCGCTTGGTTCGCCGTAGTGGCTAGACAAATCAAAGAGCTTCGAGCCACTTTCGAGGCCTCTGAAGAGAGACGAGGGAAGGCATCGGAGAACTGTAGGCCAATAAAAAGTTCCAGCTAAAAACCTCGTATGGCAGAAGCAACTAAATCCGTCTTGGGTTCAAAAGCTGCTCAACATCAGTTTTGCGTCAGCACAAGTCGGGCTCGTAGGTTCTCGCAACAAGGCTTCAGTCCTCTGCCAGACACTCACAGCCTGATTTCTAGGCATGTAGAACTAAGGAAGTCATACTCAGCTTTTCATCCGCAGGCTAGTCACAACCGTGGCTTCATCAAGGGAAAGATGTACAGCGGAATGTGAAAATAGTTTTTCCTAGTTCCATTTAGTAAGCGGTCCTGGAGAGAACATT